TTGCTACGTAGACTTGGTCAATGGTCATAGGACTTTAAAATACGGACTTCGAATAACTATAAGTGTTTGAATGAAACTTCGTTGAGTACGGGGACCGAGGTGACAAACACGAACAAGTACAAGTGTTTACTAGGCCATTCTGCCTATTTTCAATAACCAATTCAGATTCATGCCAAGCAATCGAGCACAGAAGCAATTCATCTTATAAGGAGATTGGTGGAGCAGTATAGGGAGAGGAAAAGGGACTTGCATATGGTGTTCAACGAACTAGGGAAAGCATACGACAAAGTACCTAGAGAGGTTCTATTGTGGTGTTTAGAGGCTAGAGAAGCGTTTGTAGCTTACACCAGGGTGATTAAGGACATGTATGATGGAGCTAAAACCCGGTAAGGATGGTGGGACGAGACTCGAGACACTTTCAAGTCGTGATGGGGCTGCACCAGGGGGTCGGCTCTTAGCCCGTCCTTATTCGCCTTGGTGATGGACGAATTGACGTGGTACATTCAAGGAAAGATGCTATAGTGCATGTTATATGCAGATGACGTAGCACACTGATTGACGAGATGGAAGGCGGAGTTAATGTTAGGCTGGAGGTGTGGAAACAGACCCTGGAGTCTAAAAGTTTCAAGTTGAGCAGGACAAAAATTGACTACTTGGAATGTGGGTTCAGTGATGTGAACCATGAGGCAAACATGGAAGTAAGACCCGATTCACAAGTCATCCCCAAGCAAGAGAGTTTCAAGTACATTGGGTCAGTTTTCTAAGACAATAGGAGATTGACGAGGATGTCGCATATCGTATTGGACCGGGGTAGATGAGATAGAGTCTTGCATCTGGTGTCTTGTATGATAAGAATGTATCCCTGAGACTCAAAGATAAGTTTTACAAAATAGTGATTAGACCAACTATGTTGTATGGGGCGGAGTGTTAGCCAGTCAAGAAATTCTCATGTCCAGAAGATAAAGGTACCAGAAATGGGGATGTTGAGATGGTTGTGTGGGCATACTTTCAGATAGGGTAGGAGTGACCTCCGTGGGGAGAAGATGTTAGAAGTGAGGCTGAGATGGCTCGGGCATGTGAAGAGGACACGTGCAGATGCTCTAGTGAAGAGATGTGAGAGGTTGAATATGGTGGATCTAAGGAGAGGTAGAGGACGACCGAAGAAGAACTGGGGGAGGTGATTAGGCAGGACATGGCACATCTTTAGCATACCAAGATATGACCCTTGATAGGAGGTTGTGGAGGTCGAGAATTATGATAGAAAGTTAGTAGGTTGTAGAGCGTACTCCCCCTTTACATACCAGTAGTTTTAGTGTTTTCTTTGTTTGGTCTTATTCCTACTGCCTGATGTTGCTTCTGAGTTGTTGCTACCCTTTTGTTGTTACTACTTCTTTTCATGAATTTTTAACTATTATATTTCCGTTCTCAAAACTTTGATTATGCGTAGCATGAGCCGAGGATCTATTAAAAATAGTCTATACCTGTTTCAGGCATAGCAAGAACGTGAGCAAGTTGTGCAAGATCATGAGCGAGTTGTCAAGTGCCGCACGTGCACTTAGTTTAAGACTAAGGACATGACAGCAGTGCTGTCAAAGGCTCATTTAAGGAGGGCTTAAGCCTTAAAGCTCAAAAAAGCTCAAGGAGGGCGCTTTGCCTCGCTTAAGTTGCGTTTCAATGTAGACAAGGCACCAAGACGTGCCCCTTATTGCCCATGAGTTCTATCTTGAATGGAGCAATGCTAGACTACAAATATAATCGACAAATAAGTGTATTAGTTATTAAGAAAAATAATATGAATGAATTTGTTACTTTTCTCTTGAATTACGTATATATTTTTATTTTTTTCTGCATTGCGCCTTTTTTAACTAAAGCCCCCACATGAATTGTGCTTTGCGCTTAAAGCCACAATTGACCTAGAGCGCTTTTTAGAGCTTTTCGCCTTTGACAACACTGCATGACAGTGTGGTATCTAAGCAAAGGTGGTGACTACAGGAATGGCGAATGACTGAGAAATCAACATTGCTAACACCCAAGCCAATCACTCGGAATGCCGTTGGCATGAAGGGCCTGAACAAAAAGGAAAATGCCTCCAACAAAAGCCCGGAGGCACCGCCCTAGGCCTATAGGCATTGAAGAGGTTGATGTTGGCGTGACCGAGGTGGCCAACAATGTTGTTGAGACGAGGGAGGCCAAAATCGAGGATCACAAGCCACCGGTGTTCAAAGGTGTACGCGATGCTCAAGAAGTGGAGAACTTCCTTTGGCACTAGGGAAACTACTTTAAGCATGGCAAAGTGAGAGACGATGAGGCCAAGATCAAAATTGTTGTCTTGTACCTTTCAGAGATTGCCATGCTGTGATGGAGAAGAAAGATGGCCGACGTGGAGAAAAATCTATGCACCATTAGCACGTAGGATTAGCCCAAGGCCGAGTTCAAGCGTCAATTCTTCCCAAATAATGTCTTGTACAAAGCACGACGCAAGCTTTGGGAGTTGAAGCAAATAGAGAGTATACGAGACTATGTCAAGGAGTTCACCACCTTAATGCTTCAAATTCTCAATCTCACCAGTGAAGACTTGTGTTTCACTTCATAAACGGGTTGCAAAATTGGGCTAAGCACGTGTTGCAACGCCGACAAGCTGCAGATATAGATCTAGCCATAGTGGAGGCCGAGTTTTCAATGGATTTCAGGCATGACAAGTACAACAAAGGCAAAGGCAAAGAGTCAAGGGGTAGCAATGTCAAAGATGGGGGAGACCGTGGAAAAAGCAAGAAGACACAACAAGAACACCCCAAGACTCAAGATGCCAACAAGTTCGATGGCACGAAGTCGAGTGGTCGTCAGGGCTATGCCGAGAGAAAGGCGCAAAGTAGAGAAAAAGGGACCGAGGCGTAGAAAAGGCTCGACGTTCGAGTGGCTACCAGAGAACGAGCGCAAGGAAGAGCTCCCAAACGGGTTGGTAACTCCTCACCGAACCTCGTTAGAGCCCTTTTGAGATGAAGGAAAAGAATGATAAGATATGTCATCAAGAAGATAGCAACAAAGGAAAGACTCCCCCTGCTATGCAGCTAGTTGAGTATAGTAGACATGTTATAGGTGTTCTGGTACCTTACAAAAATTCCTAAAGCTGAAATAATTCGAGTTTACTGGAGCATCTATACTGAGGATCCGCAATTGTTCTTAGATAAGGTTAAAAAGATACTGAGGATGCATGGGTGTACAGGTGACAGAGCTGTTGAGTTAGCCGCATACAGACCGAAGACACAGTTGGTAGTTAGTGGGTGTTTTCAGAGACGGAGAGGATCACCACTGTTGACTTGGGAGCAGTTTGAGGATGCTTTCATGGCTAGATTTCTTCTGGATAGCCAACGAGATGCATTGCGAAGGAGCTTTGAATTGCTAAACTGGAGTTTTATCAGTTGCTATGAACAACTCCAACCTGACTGTATTTGACAAGGTGAAGTGGCTCGCAAAAGGGACAAACAAATATTCGTATCAAAGTGTTATCTCCCCTCACCAAGGGGAGGATAAATCTTATATTTAGATAGTAGATTTGTTGAAGAGAATGAAGCACGAGGCAAAGTTCTTGGCACCACATGACGTAAGAAGGCCAAAGCTTTAGGGTCGTTTGGTGGAGTTCCCGTTGTTGCCAAAAGTATAAGGAGCCAAGGACTAAGAAAGCCCGTAATCTATTGTTTTAGTGCGCTAAGAGCCCAGCCCAGACAAGTCAGACTGGACTAATTCAGTTCTCTCAACAACCCCCACCATGTCGTTCATAAAATAAAAAAATCACATCCAGGACACGTCATCAAGAAGATAGCCAACAAAGGAAAGACTCCCCCAGCTATGTAGCTAGTTGAGTATACTAGACATGCTATAGGTGTTCTGGGTACCTTACAAAAATTCCTGAAGCTGAAATAACTCGAGTTTACTGGAGCATATATACAGAGGATCCGCAATTGTTCTTAGATAAGGTTAAAAGGATACTGAGGATGCTTGGGTGTACAAGTGACAAAGCTGTTGAGTTAACCGCCTACAGACCGAAGACACGGTTGGTAGCTAGTGGGAGTCTTCGGAGACGGAGAGGACCACCATTGTTTAGTTGGGAGAAGTTTGAGGATGCTTTTATGGCTAGATTTATTCTGGATAGCCAACGAGACACAGTTTATCTGTTGCTATGAACAACTCCAACCTGACTGTATTTGACAAGGTGAAGTGGCTCGCAAAAGGGACAAACAAATATCCGTATCAAAGTGTTAGCTCCCTCACCCACGGGGAGGATAAATCTTATGTTTAGATTGTAGATTTGTTGAAGAGAATGACGCACAAGGAGGCAAAGTTCTTGGCACCACTTGACGTAAGAAGGCCAAAGCTTTAGGGTCTTAGCTACTTGTGTTCTCATGATGCTTAAGCTCTGTTTAACCCTAGTTCTATTCATTCTTAATGTCATCATATTTTACAACGAAGAATTAAGAAAAATTCAGAACTGTTGACCGATCATATTCCTAGTTGCCACATGAGTAGGAGAATCCTTGACAATGTATCATGGTTATCGTTCATGTGTAGCCAGGACTGAGGGAAGGGGCACTTTGGTCGACTTAATAGTATTTAGTATAGTTGACTGTGATGTTATCATGGGAGTGGATTGGTTAGCCTCGTGCCATGCTATCTTCAACTGCCATTTGATGACAGTGAGATTTGAGATATTGAGCGACCCTAGCTTTGAGTTGAAAGGTGACTCCATTATGCCTTCAACCAAAATATCTCTTTCCGGAACGCTAAGAAACTAATGAGTGAAGGATGATATGTATCCTTGGCCACTTTCAGCGACACGAGGACCAATGTACCTAGTTTAAAGATAGTTACTGGGAAAGAGATTGAATTTTATATCAACTTGGCACCAAGTACACAACAACTATGGTGTAAATAATATAAGCTTACAAAGTGTATGCTTTGGGTCGTGACAAATATTTACATACAGAGAGCAAAAAAAAATATACCTGATAATAGCGGATGACACTTGGATGCTGAAGAGCTGCCAAAATTTTCACCTCTCTGAGAAGAAACAAATATTTTCAGTATAAAACCATACAAAATAAAGTTATCTTATGCTAAATAAATAATATTACCTTAGATATTCTGCATGTTCTTGATCAGGAAAAGGTATCTTTTTCACAGCATATGTTGACTCGTCTAGCTTATGCTTGCATTCATAAACTCGTCCGAATCCACCTTTCCCTACAAATCAAATAACAAAAAGAGATCACTGGAAAGACTACTGCCATGTATAAATCACAAAGAGTTATCCTCTCTTTTTTAGAAGAGGAGTTTGGGGCATTCTACAAATCTTCCTATTCATCTTGAGACGAAATGACAATTTGAAAACTAAATATAATATTAGGTCAATCCAAGTTGTTATTATTTAAAACACTTGTTACCTGAGTCATTTCAGAATAAAAATCCATCTTCTAAATGTGAAGTTCAATAATTAGCTAAACATCATCATTTTTTCTCTTCTAGGAATATAGAATCAAACTATTGGGCGGTCAAAAATGTTACATAAAAAGTGGTTTAAAAGTTTCATTGGTGATCGTAACTGCTAGGTATATCAAAAAATATAAATCAGCAATGATGGAGATTTTTCGGATATGTTAGACTGGTTGAGACACAACTTCAGGAAAGAACTAGAGTGTTATGAGTGATAATAGTAAAGGGTACTTTAATGAAAACCTTAGGCGATTTCTTCTCGGAAAAAGAAATGATGCATCAAAGTTCATGTCCTGATACCAACCAAAAAATGGGTAGCTACAAGGAAAAGTAAACATCTCTTAGCAGTTACAGGGGTATTACACCATTCACTAATAATGTTCCTAAGTATCTCGGGAGAGAGGCACTCATGACTATCACATCTTTAACAAATAAGATACCTACCAAGATTCTCTCACTCTGGGTTTTAGGACACCTCTTAAGTGTTATTCAAGATACCTTCCTAATCTGTAAATTGACAACCAATTTAGCTTTAAGAGTATCTGGATGTAGTGTTTTCACTCATGTAAATAATCGTGAGAAATTAGATCCTTGAGCTAAGAAATGTGTGTTTAGTAGGTTATGCCCCCAACTCAAAGAGGGTACAAGTGTTATAACCCGAGCTCTAAGAAAATATTTGTTAAAATGGATCTCGCTTTCTTAGAGTCAATGATTTTTGGCTCTCCTTTCTGGGGGAAAAGATGGGAGAAAATTCAAACTCCTTTGATAATAATTAGATTCTCTACCACTGATAACAATTGAACCAAATACCTTGATAGAAATAGAGTCAGGTGATACAGAATCAAGTGATTTAACTAGTAAAAATTTGGATTTCTAAGCCTAGAAAGCCAACCCATGACATTTGTAGAGGTAAAAGTGGTGATCAAACAAGTACAAAAGAACTGAATGTCTACTCAAGGAGAAACACCCCAGATTTTTCATACTTGTACTGAGCCTTCAGGTGATCTCCATATATTATTCACTCACATAGATCTTCCTAACTTCCAGTCTATTCACTCTGAGCCTAAACATCTGAGCTTGTCCCGTTGCATTACAAAAAGGTACCAGGAGTTGTGCCAAATACCCTATGTCTAATTTTGTGTTATAAAAATCTGTTATCAATATCTTCTGCATTTACCTCACAGCTATCTAGTATGGAGATAGCAACGAGTGTGCGGGATGCTTTAAAGGTTCCCGAATGGAAGGAGGTTGTTCTTGAGGAAATGAGAACGCTTGAAGAAATAATAATAATAATAATAATAATAATAAAAGGTTTTTTACTTTTTGGTATACATCTTGTATGTGGGCATGTTTCACCCTTTTTTAATGAAATTATCACCTTATCAAAAATAATAATAATATAAAAGAGGATTTGGGAGGTCATAGAGTTGCCAAAGGAGAAGCTGCAAATTGTGTTCAAAAAACTGCATAGTTTCTAGAGAGATACAAGGCGCCCCTAGCCGCTAAAGGGTATAACCAGACGTATCAATTGACTATCTAGAGACATTTGCACTAGTGGCAAAACTGAATATGGTACTCTTAAGTTTTATCCGGTGTTCTCAAAAACGAAAAGAGCAAAAAAGCGCCCAAGCCCGGAGGGCTTGAACCAAAAAGCGAGAAGTGAAGGCGCACAATTTACGAAAGATTCAAGAAATATCAAACATATATGAATTTCGCACTACAACAACCGAATTATAATTAAAATAACTAATCTCAACATCCAGTATGCAATAATGCCGACATTGGTCCAACTTTCCAAAGTTGAGATTCAAAGAGCCAACTAATTCTCATTGAGATCATTTAATGCATTACTGTTTAAGCGCACACTTCCACTAAAGCACATGGCTTCATCCATGAAGCGACAACCTCTTGTTTCACATAGCTTTGGCTGTTAATGACACTGCTCTTACCATTTTGCAGTCAATCTACACAAGTCACCTGACAACTAGATGAAGACGTTTATATAGATCCACCTCCAGGCTTTGAAGTAAAGTTGGCTTTAAGGTTTATGGATTAAGAAAGTCTCTATATGGCCTAAAACAGTCACAAAGAGCTTGGTTCAACAGATTTTACTAGGTTTGTAAAGAAACAAGAGTCCAAGGGTATCCAAGGACAAGTAGACCACACCATGTTCACAAAATATTTAAAAGGGAAGAGATATGTAGTTCTTAAAAGGAAGGAAGAGCATTTTACCTAGTCGCCGGATCTCCTGAAAATCTACGGTATATCGAGTCTGCATGCTACATATTTATATTTCAAAAATCAAATCAAAATATTTTAAACATATGTCACAAGAATACTCAGAGAAAAGACAAATTTGTAAAGAGAAGCCCAAGGCCAAAATTCAGAGCAAAAAACAATATAACATTTTGGAAGCAACATAAATAATTATCTACAAAATACTAAATAGGTAAATTTGGCCAGTTAGGCTCTTTTTTTAAACACAAAATCAAACCAAATAGTATAAATTCTTAAAAAACTTTAATACCGGACTTAACCAAACAAAAAAAGAGTGGATTGTCACACCCTTCTTTTACCCCCAAAATTTCACATAGCCAATTAGGCCAAGTTGCAAAAAATCAACTTATTTCGAAAAGCACTTTTTATCAAAAGTGCTTTAAAAAGGTGCTTTGGAAGAGTAGTAGTTTGTATTTAGTTAAATCATTTGAAAAGTGCTTTTTTTTGTTATTTGTGTTATGCCAATATTTCCAAAGAGTGCTTTTAAATGTCAAATTACAAAAAAATGTACATAAGTTGTTATCTACTTATCAATTAGCAAGTCGGCTTACAAAATTGGTTAAACACTTACTTTGGTTAATAAATTAGTGTTAAATTTAATAATATATGTGCATCATTTAAAGATAACACTAATTACAGAGATAATGAGCCTGCATATTATGATTAACCGTGGTGCACTTGCGGGAAACTCCTTGCCGAGGGCCTGTGCACCCCCGGATTAGTCGGGGCTCGAAGAGACTCGGACATCCGGTGCAAATCAAAAAAAAAATGAGCCTGCATATTATGATTTGTAATTTCAAATTTAATTTAAGAACTCTTAAATTTAACTTTTTAATGGAATATGCCGACCATAAAGAAAAGAAGCAAATCTAAACCAAAATGAACTTAAAAATTAAAAAGAAAATCGCATTGAAGGATATTATTGGTACTCTTAAAATAATGATGTCAAATAAAATAGTGCAAAATGTGCGGTAAATACTATAATTGGCTAAAATAAAACAACACAACCTTCTAACTTCTTTTTTTGAATCAAATCCTACTTAAAATAACTCACATTATCATATATCTATACTATATTAAAAGCCTTTAGCGAAATGTCAATCGTCTTTTTTACCCTTAAAAAATTCAATTCATACTGGACAAAATAGTCGTTTAGTTATTTCTCAAATATTTAGAAATAGTTATTTAATTAATTCTTGTTATACTGTTTTTAGATTTAGGAATTCTTTTTTAGTAAATGAAATTTTCGTCGTTTAGTTAAAACATTGAAGGGCTTCATATCAACAAAAGGGTATAAAACTCAAGCTATATAGATTTAGTTTTGGCATTCTACAGAATTTATGTATTAAAAAACAAATACACATTCTAAAAACACTATAATTAGATATAAATTATCTCAATATTTACAATTATTATAACCATTAACTCAACATAAATATTTAAATTGTATACTTTTATCTTATTACAATTGTATGTCCTTATCTGTTGAAAATAAACAATCTCTTCAATTTAAAAAAACATAAATAACATATGTAACTAAGTAATGCATAGATTAAAGGGATAATACATAATTCCCCCTTGTACTTGTCTCGTTTTCAGTTGCACACTTAAACTTTGCAAGGGTCTATGACCCCCACTATATTTATTTGAAGTGGTATAAATACCATCTCCGGTACTTATACCACTTCAAACAAATATAGGGGGGTCATAGGACCCCTGCGAAGTTTAAGTGTGCCAATGAAAAAACAAGACAAGTACAAGAGGGAAATTATGTATTATCCCTAAATTAAAATAGAAACTATTCGTTATTAAAAAACTTAAAACGTTAATATGAAAGAAATTCAACTTTATATCTGCACTTTTTCTTTGTATAATCAAATTCTTGTATGATATATTCTTATAATAAATTGCATATAGAGATTAAATTTATTGGTCTACTCATCAAGTTCTTTGGCCTGTCGATGAATATTGCTTGAAAGCTTTTTATATAAATCATATAAAAAAGTTAAGTCTATTAGATAAATCCCGTCAAAGAAACGAAAAGGGTATCTAGGCACAAGAGACATAAAAGAAAATCCACCTTTGGTTTTGGTTATAACTTTTTTTTATTTTTATAATATATTTTATCACAATTTAGATTTAGTTTCAGCACTATTTTCTTAGGAGTCTATTTATTTTCGTCCTTTCTCTTTTAACTTTGCATAACCATCATCAATCTTTTTAAAAAAAATCTGATACTTATCTCAATTGATCCAATTTGTCAGTAACTTTGTATTTCATTTCGATTTCATCTATGTCCATCGACTTCTTTTGATGTATCACGTGTTGTATCAAATGTAATACTCCCTTCCCTCCGTTTCATATTAAATGAAATACTTTCCTTTTTAGTCTGTTCCAAAGTAAATGACACATTTCTAAATTTGGAAATAATTCAACTTTAAACACTTTCATTTTAATTTTTATAGCCACACAAATGTCATGATCCCACAAACTTTTTAAGACCACAAGTTCCTAAAGTCTCTTCTTTTTTCTTAAACTCCGTGTCGAGTCAAACTAACTCATTTAATATGAAACGGGGAGTAATAAAATTAGTTGTAGTTAATATTAATATCTTTGATCCCAAACCCCGTTTGGATCTCGACCCTAAACCTAATTTCTTAAGAAACTTCCATTATACTTCTATTTTGCTCAACTAAATTAAAAAAAAAACACTAAACTCGTTCAAGCCTCGCTTTAAACTTTCCCCGAAATCTCAAACTAATCCAGTGAAAAATAGCTTAACATCACACGTAGATCAAATAATGAATTCAAACAAAGAAACATCTTATAATGGAATAGAGGAAATTATGTAAAAGAAAACGGAAGAAAACGAGATATATTAGTAAACTAAAAAAAAAAAAAGGAAAAGAAATGTACCTTAAAAATGGAAGCACCTTTTAAACTCTTGAAATCTGGCGTTGTACCGGAACTTGACAGGAATTCGAACTATGACCGCGAGCCTGACCGGAAATCCCGCCGGTAATGAGTGACCAACCCCTTTTTTGTTGATGAAATGGAGTAACTAATGCAAGATATTGTCTAGGCGATGTTTGTGAGTACGTCAGTCGATATTTAGGCGTATGGACTGTATTGGGATATCAAAATTGGAGAAGAGAATCTGATTGAGAGATTGAAGGATGGCCAATAGTGAAAAGGGCGTACGTTGCTGTGAAAGATTTTCTACCTGTGAAGTGGTGATTGCTTGAATTTTCTCTAAGAAGAACAACGAAGGAAAGTGATTCTCCGTGGGAAGGGCCTAGTGTATTGTCCTGATGCTGTAAAATGGATGTAATGTAGGTGTTTGTGGAAATGTCAACGAGAGCCGCTGGAGATGAAAATTACCGGAGAATAGGGTTGTCAGGTGAGTGGAGTGAGGGTTTTTTTGGAGGTGGAAATTAACTGGTGGAGAAGAAGAGGTGTAATGAAAACAGGGGAAGTGACTGGTGATTGCTGCTTCTAACGGCGGCTGAGAATGTGGTGGTTTTTCTGGCTGTGTTCAGGCGGTGGAGAAACGGTTTTTCAGTGGTTCATGATTTTGTGTAATGACGAGGGAATATATTCTGAGTGAATATCCGTGAAGTGGAGGAAACAGTTGAGCATCTTTAAAGTGATTTGCTGTTGTCGCATTAATTAGATGTTCTAATGCCCCATACCATTAGATATGTAATATTCGGTTTTTTTTTAATGCTACAATTTAAAGGAATTTTTACCATCACGTATCATATATATGAAATCTTATTACCCTCAATGTTTAAGGATTGTATTAATTACATTTCAGCATACCAAATTACCATTTATATACCACAATTCAAATTAAGGGTATAATTAATTCTTCATTTATATTAGGCGTTAATTTAGGAGCGTATATTCTCCCATTTTCGTTTACCCGCCTCTCTCTCCTCCCACCCCCACACCCCCCACGTTTTACCTTCAGTTAATTCCCCCATTTCTGTACCTCTCACCCACCTTTAACATCAGTTACCCACGATTTTCTTTTCCAGTTAATTTCACAAAATCCTATTTTGAAGTTGCATCTGTTTTTTCAAGTCCCAAATCATGAAAAAAATCGGCAGTCCCAAAAAAAAGCTTCAAAAGCTACATTAGTTGATATCCCATCCTTTGATTTGGGTGTTTTAACACCAAAATCACCACCCAAAAATGCAAAATCGAGACATGCAAGTGAACCTACTACTAGTATTTCATCTCCTAGACAAATTCGTGCGGAGATGAGAACCAAGCATTTGCACGATGTTGATGTTGGTGGAGGTGATAAACCAGTCGAGAAACAACTCAAACGAAAGGGCAAAGAGTTGTGTGTAGATGATGATTTTGTTGAACATTCCCCTAAAATTCCATCTGTGAAAAAGCCCAAGGTCTCTCCTTCTTCATCAAAACCGAAAAAGAAGAAACCCTCCAAAAAAGTACCAAAATTGGTTCACAAAAAGATTTTGGTAAAGGTAAACACTAATTATTTTTCTTTACAGTTTTTTAGTGTGATTTTGGTTGTAAAAATCTGTTGTTCAAGTGTTTTTTGGTAAAATGTGGAATTGTCCAAATTTTGTAGATTGTTTGTCTCAATTTTGTAGGTTAATTGTAATTGTGATTTTTAGACAGTGCATAAATGTAGTCATTTTGTAGTTGTTTTGTAGTCTGCTGGATAAATTGTAGATAA